TCTAGTAGAAGCTCTAACCTTTAGTTTTCAGACTTATTTTTCACACCTTATAATTAAATCTATTTTTAAAGTACTGAAAGTGTCAGCAATTCCTTGCTGTGCATCTTTCTATCAAAACAATGTAAAATTACAATATACTTTTCCATTCCCATTGACTGATGTCTAGAAACATAGAGCTGAATTCATCCCTGCTGTAACTAAAGTCACTGCAGTCACATCAAGGATAAATGTGATTCAGATACAATAGTTAAGGCTCATGTTGATTTGAAATGAAATATGAGACACACAGTTCCCAGGAACTTCAAGTTTGTCAGAAAATATATTAAATACATGATTTGATTTGAAGTATGGACAGTGATTTCTTGTTTAAACTTTCACTGTCATACATATTTTGCATTAGTTGAGAAAAAGATATATGCAAAAATGGCAGCGCAGAATGTGCCAATGAATGATATTGAGTGGCACTTACACTACACCTTTATTTTTATCCTGTCTTTAAACTGGAACCGCCAGAATTATTGGTATTTGTATTATCCAGATTCATTGAATTAAATAACCCCATCCACTGCAAAATTCAAGGGGGGGGGAATGGTAAGGGATGGGTCGGGGGGGGGAAGAGAAGAGATAGAAAAGAAAACAAATATTAAGATAAAAAAAGAAAGGCATTAACAACACTGTAGGGGCATGGCACCAAGAAACACCGGAAGAGTGAGTACCCTTCTGCCAGACCACCACAGTGTGAATGGCTCCAACAAAAACTGCAGGGCACAAATGGTATTTTTCGAGGACTGTTGCTGAAAAGTGATGACCCTCAGTGACTCTGACTGCCATCTCTGGGGGTCACAGGTTCTCAGCATTTCTTGGAACTAGGACCCTGGAAACACATTGAGCGGTTCTAAAGACACTAACGTTATCATCCTCATTTCCTTTTGCTAAGGCTTATACAACCACAATTTCGAGTCTGCCTTTTTCAAAAGGTGTTTGAACCATTTAATCAAGTATTTAGACTCATCCCTCTCCAAAGCATCACAAGGACCATCCACAAGCCAAGAATGTAAAAGGAAAAGTGTTTAAGTGTTTGTGCGTCTAAAACAGAAAGTTTTAAACCATTTGGATGAACATCTTTATACATAATAACTTGGGCCACAACCTTGGTTTCCTGGTTCAATTCTCTATTTTTGACTAATCTACAATAATAAAGTGGAAATAAGGTAACTATGGGCTAAAATAAGGGATCGTTGAGAGGTACATTTTTTTCTCTACAAAAAAAAATACAAAAAAACAATGTACAGCTTTTGAGATGTCAGCAATTTTTAATTATAAAATACCTGCAATGGAACCAGCTAGATACGAAATATCAAGTGTATTTTGTGAGGATGGAAGGATTATCATCAAATGGTGATTCAAAAGGTAAAATACTGGAAGTAATTATCTATTTTCCCTGTGTACCCAGTGTATTTCCCCATCCTGAAAGGTTTTGCACTGTAGCATTCCTTCCTCCACTGGCCTGATCCAAGTCCTATTGAAGCCAATTAAAATATTCCTCTTGACTTCAGTGGGAATTGGTTTGGGCCCTTGCTTGAAGCTGACTGGAACCCTTTTAAACCCACCAATGCCACTCCTAAATTGAACAGTGGGTTGACTAGAAAAAGACTCAGGTTATTAGAGAGCACCACATGTAGGACACTGATTTGAATTGGAGCAACGTAATTCAAGGCCGGTCCCCTGCTGCTCTCAGACTTGGTGGTATTTATTTATTTTAAAAGATTAAAATAAGTGGGAAAACAGAAATTCAGACACCAAAATTTAACCTCAACCCCATCGTGTCAGAAATGGGGACATGAAAAATAATCAAAACATCCATTCAGTGATCAAATAATGATAATTAAATAGTCTAATTATAGCAAAACTGCCATAGACACATCATATGAATAAATCAATGCTGTGTACTCATTCAGACTACAGGAGAGTACAGAGATGGGCCTGAGTCATGAAGTTCAGGTCTGGATATGAACTTAATTTGAATTTGGGAAATGGGGAATAGCGGGGAGGGGGATGGGTTCCAGGATTCCATTGTTTATACAGTAAATAAAGCATTAAGGGCCAAATTGTAAAACCTCTCCCTCCCATTGATGACCAGGTAAGCTCATAAATCATCCCATTGCCTACAATGGGAATAATTAGGTCACTAGCTGCTCACTGTTGCAAGCTGGGGGTTTACAATCTGGCCCAAGAATATAAAAGATGAAAGAAATATTACTATGGTAGATTGTTTGCTTGAAGTCTAACTAATCTCCACAGTGCAAATCAGTTAGCTTAGATGGTTGTTCAGGTCTTCCATACCAAAATAAAGTGTAATCAAGACTTACAATGTGCCTCACAGGAGCGTGCAGGAGAGTGGCCATGTAATTGTAATGTGCACGTAAGGCTTGATTCTACACAATGCTGAGCACTCCAGCCCCAGTCCACCAAAGCATTTAAGCACATGATTAACTTTCAACAGGTGAACAGCCCCACTGGTGCACTTAAAGTTAAGTGCATGCTCATGTGTTTAGTTTCATCCAGACCAGAGTGCTCAGCACCTTACAAAATTGAGTCCATACTATGGCCAGACTATGTCTAATCTTTATATGGATGAGCAAAGGAGCAAGAGGGAAGGACAGAGGTACTTCACCCTGCAATTTTGCATTCCCTGTGCAGGGGACAAGACACAGTGTAGGCTTTGTGCTCACTTGAGTTTAGGGGCTGCTTCTTGCTAGTGCCCCTCAGGACTGTCATGGCTCTGCCCCTTTCTGCACTGGAGCTGGCTGGCCATTAACAGAAAAGTATGCTGAACCCTCAGTAGGGGAGCGTGGCATGCTTAATCCTCTGCTGGCTGCGTTCCCCTGGATCTCTCTCTGGGAGGAAGTGGCTGTGCACTAGCCCCAATATGTGCCTTTTATGATATAGGCCTGATCTGGCATATTACCCACAGAAGAAAACATTGAAAATAACAGTTCCAATTGCTTCTAAAAAACTGGATGCCACAGGTGGATTAAATGCTGGATTCCAATCTGAGAATCACAGGCACATGTCAGTGCAAGTCCAGGGAATGGCATTGCCCCAACATCCCCACTGATGTCAACTGGACATTGGTATTTAGACAGTGGTATCTGGATGAGGACAGGACGCTCTCTCACTGTGCATATATGTATATGTACAAAGTTTAGATATGCACAAATCCATGCCTGTGTATCTCAAATTAGAATCAAGCCCTAAGGAATCTGCCCTTCTATATATGTAGACTCCTTAGGGCTGAAGAATGTACATTAATAACTCCTGCCAATCCATATTAGAGGTCAAAATGGTAACCAACCCTCAGTGCCCCTGAGTAAGCAGACACCTACCCATTCCCATTAAAATGGAAGAATTATGACATTTCTCGCACTTTTAGCTTGCATATTCCAGCACCAGAGTTTCATGGATTTGAGATATTTTATAGTTTTCTTTTTTAACTCAATTGGATTTAATAGAGTCTATACGTTCTTGAACCGATATTTATCACTGAGTAATATTTATGTTGTTATTTCTACCTGCAATAACAAGTCCCCCAGATTTTATTATATTATATGGGAATTCTAATTTGTTCTTGTCTCATGAACCACTGATTGATACTTTAGATTTGCATTTTGCCAGCATGGCTTCCCCATCCACCCTCTAGCAGCAAAAGAGATGCATATTTTGTGCTCTCAAAATAAGAACAAACCTGACACCTTTTGAAGGTTTGTTGTGGTAGTGATTTTTTGTTTATTTGTTTAAGGGTATTTAGACTTAGGCTTTATGAAGTGAATTTTAACATCCGAACAACAACAAAAAATCCAAACAAAATCCAATAATAAATGCTGTGGGAAACATTCAGTGTGTTATCTTTATGTGAATATAAATACTGACACACTGTGAGCTTTGCTGATATTTTTTACTGGGCCATTACAGTAGGTGACACAGCAGAAGACACATAAATGTAACAGGGATAGGGAAGAAATTCATAAATCTTTGTATATAGAGATTTTCTCCCACCCTATTTAGTTATAGTGACACAATGCAATTTATAGTTACTGTTAATAGATAAGGCTACTTTAACCAAAAACTATTTGTTAGCTGCAAAGAAGAGACTGAAAAGCGAACAAAGGAATCAGTAGATAAACTTGCTGTTGTATATATGTATAATATGAATCTAAGGCAATGGATTTAGTCACTTTTTCATTTAAATATTTTATTAGCCTTTACAATATCATTATTAAACAACACAAATATCTAAACTAATATGGGTTCTCTTAAGCCATTAGAGATGTATAATGATTATATTGGCATATCTGGGATTCTAGTTTATAAAGCTTTCCAGGGTAGAGACTGTACATTAACATTTGTCTGTATCGATCCTGATTGGGGCCTCTTGGTGTTAACACAAAATAAATAATAGTTGTGACAGGACAAGATACAGGTCCTCCCCAACCTCCCCCCTCCCAAGGGCACGATAGGTAAATTGACATCTTGAATTCATATTATTCTGGCCAAAAGGTCAACATAATTCTGCAGTAGAGTTACACCACATATCATGTAAGTTCATGTTGTAATAGGCCAGCAATTGACAGACTTTAAATCTAGCCTCACTGTTCTTTACTATTGTCAGTGGTTTCTGACTGCAAAGTGAGGTGAGGTGTCTTTTGAGCAGCTCTCTTTGCACTAAAAAGCTAATGGAATAGATCACTATGGGGGGAAAATGAACAGCCTTTCAATTGTTATCATATACACTGGGGACATTCTTTCAGTATTCAGCCTGTGCCAATTCAAATGAGGGACTAACAATGAAGCCACACAAACTGAATTCTTGTATCATCCAAAAGCAAAATGGAAAGTGTATGCCTCTGTCTGATTTGTTTAAATGCATGGAATAAGAGGAACAAAAGTAGATGAAAGAGTTAACACTAGGACAAAACTAGCTCATCTCTTGGCTATCTTACCTCATTTACAAAGACCCAGTGACTATCCTTGGAAGCAAGGTTGGTTTCCACAGCCTACAGAAAAAATAAATACACACATAAATAAAACTAAATAAAATGAAGATTTCCAGAGTTAATTTATAATTTCCGATAAAAGGACATAATTACAATGTTCATTTTAAGACCTGTTTTCTTTGTACAGTTCCCTTTATTCATACTGCTGCTACTTTGCTGAAAGTCATCTAATCTCTTCTGCTCGTGTTTTATTTTGATTTGAGTATCTGCAGCAGTATAACCTACATTTGCAGAGTTGCAGCAGAGCAGTGCATCACCACCATATGGAAATCTATGCACAGAAGCAAACTTAGCGTTGTTTGGTCCATGGATGCAGGCAAGTGTATGGTATATGTCCCATGGTCTGTCATTTTTAAACTTCCTAGGATGATATTTCTTAAGGCTGCTGGTAGGATGTTGTCAATATTCAACAGGCCTCTCATTAACATACACAGATAGATCTTGTCCAACTGCAACCCCTGGGTTAGTAAACATATTGGGTGAAACTCATACCTGTGCAGAAAGCCAGCATAAGGCATGTGTACCACTTAAGTCTCCCCTTATGTTTTTCACAGGCCTTGTGCTGGCCCGCTACAGAGGGCTGAATTTTACGTTAGGCATAAGGGTCAATTTATTAGCATATTTATAACCTTCAATGGAGACAGACTGCTACAGTTAATAGGCTCACTAATGCAATAGCAGGCAGTGCCTAAATGTTCTGGGGATCTGAATGGAAAGAGCCTGATCAGTGCATGCACGCAGTTAAGTTTCTAGCTATCCCCTGCTTCACTCCTCTGGCAGGCAGAGTTGATGCCATTCCAGAGATAATGAGGTCCCTTACAGCTGCAGTTGATAGTACCCTCAACCAGGTGTCAGGAGATCTGCAATCTGTTGCCACAAATCTGGGGTTTGTATAGTCATGTTAGCTAACATATGCTGCTTAACACATTTGTAAACACATAGCATAGTCGGACACATCAGTGTTTATAAATGTACTCCCTGATTGTGATCAAATCTAGTTAAATCATTAACACCAATTGTAAACTACATAGTTAGTTAGTAGCTAATGCTGTCTGTAAGCTACTTTAGTTACAAACTAGTTTTGACCACAATCAGACAGTAATTTTATAAACATCACTGTATTTGTGTAAACAAGATGTTTTAAAATGCCATAAATAAATAGCACATGAGCTGATCTATTTAAAACCACCACTCATCTTCCCAGACTAGACAAGTCTGGTGTGTAATGGTTGGAAAATCACTTCCTCACTCTATGCCTTCGTGGTCTCATCTGTAAAACAGGGATAATTCCTACTCACCTTTGCAAAGCTTGAGAGCCACAGAATGAAAATAGGATGAAGTAAGGACAAATTATTTATCATCATCAATAAAATACCGTTGTGGTAGTTTTAACCAAGACATGTCTCAAAGTAGATGAGAAGGTACTAGGGGTACACATCCCTATAGACAATCCTCTCTTAAAAACTGGTTTTAAGCTAATTTCCTTAACTGCCTGTGAAGGGCTTCAGTATTTGGGCCAAGACTTTTAAACCTAACTTCTATGTCCATATTTAGGCCCTTAATGTGCTGAGCAGCCAATACCTCCTACTGAAGTAAATGCAAGTTGCTGGATGCCCCACACTTTAACTGAGTAAATGTGGATTTAGAAGCGAACTTTAGACACTTAGGTTTTAAAATCTTCACCTTGGAGGCAGAGCTCCGACGGCAGAGAGTACTCTTCTGTACCCAGGCATTTAGGGAAGAATTGGAGCTTTTAACTTTCTGTTTCCTGGCTTTCAGAACTGTACTTCAGATTCCCTAACTTATATGGCAAACAGCTGCAAGACAAAATGGAAGGAGAGAATCCATTGGCTGTAGCCAGCTAAGGAGCTTCTGATAGCACAACTCTTCAGATGTTGTATTGCCAATAAAAGTATATATGTTAATTAATCTTAAAAACTAATCGATTTGACCTGCCAGAAATCTTGCTACAATGTTAAAGACATGCCATGTATTATTTAGACTTATTGCTTCCTTCCCCCCAAAAATCATACACCATACACTTCCTAACAGAGCTATTGCAGCCAGCCTCCTAACTGTACCATATGAAAGGGATTTTCTAGGAGACAGATCAGGAACCTGAGTGATTGCTGTGTCTGAGGAATAGCACTGCCATCCATTGTGTACTGTTCTGAGCACAGCAAGTTTCATGAGCTAAAATACGTTATGGGATTTTTGATGGAAACAAATATTAGGGTATACACAAAGTAACTCATTCATTTATATACTGTATGTGAGTGAAGATTTCTCATAAAATTCCCAAAGGGTATAGTTGCCATTCAAGACTAATGGCCTGCAACATTTCTATCAAAAAAGAAAAGTGGCTTTGGAGATGAATAGCGCACTGGAACCCACAAAGTCTCCATCTTTTCTATAATTTGCCTTAAAACTAAAACACATAATTTCTCCAAGTTTAGCAGACAGAGAGAGACACTTTGAGACCAGTACCTTGTCCCCTTTGTTTCACCCCAAACACATTTTAACAGCCAGATTCTATAGCATAATGTCCTGAAAACCAAGATTTATAATGCAAACAACAACCCACTATTAATTGTGGTGCATAAATGGTGTATTTGGAATGACAAGCTGCTAAAGTTTATATAGATGTGTCCATGTACAACACTGGTTGTAATTTCTCTGTACCAAATATGACACTGCTTTGTCAGCAGAAACGAAAGGAGAGATATTGAATGTATTAACAAAAAAAGGTGAGCATTCCATTCTACCACTAGTAGTAGTCATAATAATGAAAGGAAAAGATGATGCTTGACAAAAGACAGTCAAGGAGAACTTCCTTTTTTTTTAAAAAAAAAGGGAAAAATATGTGTTTTCTTTTGCACATCTTATAAGAAATTTAATGTCAATAAACCAAACCATAATCATTGCACTTGAATCTTGTGGAACAAGGGAGATAGCTGCATTATTTTTTACAAATATGATCGGTTCTTCAGTGTATCTATTTGATATTATCCTGTCTGCCTACATGAAGTTGAATTAAAAGGAGCTGTTAGGAAGAGTAAGCAGGAAACAACAAAATGGTCAGAGGTAAGACAACTCTAGGTAAACAGTATCAGAGGGGTAGCCGTGTTAGTCTGAATCTGTAAAAAGCAACAGAGGGTCCTGTGGCACCTTTGAGACTAACAGAAGTACTGGGAGCATAAGCTTTCGTG